TGACACTAAGGTGCCAACCACTGGGAGTCAAGGCCCCAATCCTGAAAGCTGGTCATGGTGCTAGATCATTGTGGCCCATAGTGTATAGTCTAGGCGTCGGTGCTGAATTCTGGACTGTTTTGAGACAGTTTAGAGCAATTTCATAATGGATTCAAGGTAGTTTAAAGAGCATTTTGGAGAGGATTTGAAGATGGAAATGAAGTGTTCGTGAAGGAGAGGAAGATGAGTAAGAAAGGATGTGTTTATGGTGATTTCTAGGGTGTGTTAGAGAGTTTTGGAGGGATTTTCCTATTGAGTTGCGAAGAAAATTTATTATGAGGTTTTAGAGATAATTACTACGTTAAATCCCAGAGTCAGCAATTGCACAACTTGATATAGCCCAAAGTCTAGGAAATGAACCTTTAGGAAAACCCTTAACATCCAAAAATATTTATGAAGCTGCTCAAATTCGTCATTAGTCACACAAACATTGAAGAATATTAAAACGAAACTAAAACCATTTCTTCAATCACTTAGAAAATTCGCACCAGGATGGACACTCCTGTAGGTCTTCGACCATGATAAAAAACATCAAAGGTATCAAAAGAGAAAAGAATATAGAGGAGCCATCCCCTAGGAAGATATGTAGACCAACATCAAAGGGCGTGGTGGCTTGAGAGACTAGTGAGAGTAGTTGATCCTCACGACACCCCCCCCCCCGCCCCCCCCCCCCCCCCTCGACATCATTTCCTACTTGCCTACATCATAGAAACCCTGGTACCTACCATTATTCAATAGTTATTTTGTTGCAATTGTTTACAAACGAGCTGTAAAGGCCATTTAGAATAAGAAATTTCTTCGAACACCCAGAACCTATGAAAAGAGAGAAACTACCCAATGGATACCTATAAGTATTGTGCATCCCTTAAGGATAATTTGCATGATATAAAAAATAATAGTATGTTATAAATCTTATGGGAAAACTGAAAAGTTTATTTTGCTTAGACGGACAAGAAAAAAAAGGAAGGCTCCCATGGATAGTTGAAGGAACAATCAAGTTCTAGCTCAAAAGATCTACATCGTTGGCAATGTACTGACCATTCTTCAGTAAGCAAGTTTGGAAGCATCTTAACAGGAAAGTCTCAAATGACTCTGATTGCGACCATGTCAAAAGCCTATCACATCAAAGTAGAGCCTATCATTTTCCTTATAGAAAACAAGCTAACAAAATAAAATTTATTCAATAATAAATAGTTGTCACAAGCCTAATCATCAACTATCAAATAGAAAGCATTGAAAGCAATATATAGTTCTGAACAACATATTCTTCAAAAATTCCTTAAATATATGAATCTAGATACTCATCCTTCAACCCCAATTGTTGACCATCTATTTAGAAAAATTGGGAGACACAGGGGCTTGATTACTTTGGCCATTGCATGGGAAAAAAAGAGATATTACATCACAATAGACAATGTTATCACAATTGATGCACTAACAACTTACAATGTGATTATTAGATAACCATTCACAAATACCTTTAGAGTTATAGTCTCCACTTACCACATCATAGATAAATTTTCAATAAGAGGAAAACCACTAATAGAAAGAGGAGATCTGATGCAATTGAAGGCATACTATCTAAAGGACACATTTTGACAATTTGAAGGGTATAAATAAATTGACTTGAAGATCTCCAAAGTAGTAAAGGAACTCACAGGGCAAACTCTGTGAATGGTTGAAGAAAAAATAAACACACTCATCCCTAACTACTTCACAGAAAAAAGATGATAAAAGAAGTACGCTACTTGGTGTCTTCTCTTACCATATTTAGAAGCTGGAATAAGTTCTTAAAAGTTCAATATATTAATAATTTTCCTACATGAGAAAATACACAAGCCCAATTTGAACTAATCCAAAAAGAAACACAATCCATTATCATAAAAATTATTTAAAAATTCAAACTTCTTCAAAGCTCACTCAAAAAAATTTGCATTATTGAAAATGTTACCTAAATGCACCATTTAAACAAGCAACAAAGTAATGTTAGAGCCTTTGGTATACTCTACTTTTACATAGGACTTTGTCACTTTTCTAATAAAATAACCATAAAAGTAATGAGAGAGAGCAAATGTATGAAAAGAGAAATTTTTGATGATATAATAAAAGTCATAAAGTTTTTTTTTTTTTTTTTTGAAAAGATCAAAAGGCTATTTATGGAGAAAAATGAGATTTTTTAGCCAAACAACACATTTATCATAATAAGCAAAAAAAATTCAATCAAAAGAAAATATATTTTATATCAAGATAATCAGAGCATTTTGAATATTAAAATTGATGAGTCAAAAAAAGAGAGACAAATAATAAAATACAATAATTAAAATAATACAAAAGTAAATAGGATCAACTTGATATAAAGGTAATTACATTACACAAAGCTATAACAAATCATTAAAATAAAATCACACCAATGCGGCTCCACATTCACTTCTTACACATAAAAAATCCATAATACATCATAAGAGTTTGTACAACTATTCACAATTTACATAATTATGCTTATGTGTGAGGGCTTTATAGACGTTCATCTAAGGCATGTGCACTCATCCTCAATGGTAAGGACAAACTCACACATGTTGTTTGCTACTTAATCACACATGTTGTTAGGAATGTGGTTGACACATTCCTTCATTAATGACCACTTACATTTCTCTTCAAAATTTCCTTTTTTTTTAAAAAATTTTGATATCATTATAATACCTATAAGTAGGGTTGATATGCAATGATTATACCAGCAGTTGAATGAAATTTTCTCTCTTTTTGTTTGGTTTATGGCGGCTTTAAGTGCGTGCATTTTATTTGGTGAGATTAGGTAATTATTTTTTCTCTATTTTTAATTTTGTTATGCTATTATCTTATCCTAATACCCACCTTATTCACATCTTCTCAACACCATTAGAATCTTAAGATACCATACTCAAACCAACCCTCAAAACCATTCTAAACATCCAGTTAGAAGCCCTAGGTCAAGCTAGACAAGACTAGAACCTAGTCTTATTATCTATCCATTGACACCCACATAAACTTCTTCAAATTGAACCATATACTTCAGATCATAACTCCACATCCTAAGACAACTACTTATAAGAATTTTTATCAATTTACCAAATTTTAAACCACTTCCCTAAAGATCTCTTCAATTGCAGCCAAAACTAGCATAATCTAGATTAGTTTAGACATTCCAATCACTATATCATACTAAACACTTTAGAATTTCACAAAAAAAAAAAAAAAACTAACAGATCTCATATTTAAATGTTAAACTAAAGATTCAAAGTCTTTAGTAACCTTTATACTCACTAAAATTCCATTCACCACCATCAATAAGTCTGTGGGCTAACCCTTTTATTTTCGAGGGGTTGTTTATTCTTACATTTAGCAGCCACTTGTGATTTTGTGACCCCAACCTTTGAATGTCCAAAGTAGCCATAGAATTCTTCTATAAAATAGAAACTTTTCATAAATGTAAAGCTAGAAAGGTCAAGGGTTTCTCCAAACACAAAACATGAGATAGGGGTGCAAGGTTGTAGCTATAGATTGAGCTTTCAACTTGATATTTATAACAATCATAAGATTAACTAGCGAATAAGGGTATGTCATCACTTGCTTGAGAACTATCTATCCACTATCCAAGTCATAATCTTTAATTCTCTTCATCAATTTATTTCTTCTCTTAATAAAAAAGATGACTCAATTTTCATTCTTACTCCTTTACTAACTCTTCCACTGTTTACAAAGAATGTTTCAGAGTAGTCCATTTACAAGAACTTTAGATGATTTGATTATAAATTCATTCGAAGTCAAGAAAGATTTACTTGACTATTGTGATGCAGAAAAAGTTAAAAGAAAAATCAAGCTCCAAAAAAATAAAGTCTATCAGATATTTATTGATCAACAATACTATTGTTGTGCAAAATAGTCAAATCAAAGCTATTATTAAAATAATAAATACAACATGATAGTCGACAGAAAGATCGAATAGTTATTGCAATCTATCATTTTTGCCTTTGATATTTAGTCAATGTAAAAAATAGCTAACTTACGTCTCTTTATATTTTTTACAAGATACTCTCAAAAAATAAATAATAGAATTGATGGATTAAACATACAATCAAAGAAATCCAAAGATACAAATGCACATGCCTAGAACTAAGAGAAGACATTCATAATTCCCAACATAACTTTCTAAAAAATTGTTTTCTCCACCACAGCTTTACAATCACCTTTTTAAAAAGTTGCAGTCACCCCAAACAAACCCTATATGTAAGGAAGCATTCCCCCATACTAAAGACGTCATAGTGCTCTTGTCAAGAACCGAGGAACTCACCAAGGTCACTCACCTCATCCGAAAGGCTACTTGTCCTAACCCAAAAAGCTACTCCCCTCACCAACAAGGCACTCACCCAATAGGCAGAAGGCATTCATAGCCAACCAATCCAAACCAACGAATTTGTCAATAAGTCCGCATTCCCTTTCAAAGGTACAAAACTCCCTCTGCATAATCAACAACTCCTCTCAACCACTCACTTAAAAGAATTCATTCCCACATGCATTCAATAAAGTTTTGATCATGACATCAATGTCTCTATCATAATCCAATCTTATTTTTATGCTATTCTTTACAAAGTCAAAGTGGGCTATTCCATGTATTTCTCAAAACCGAATAAATAAAAGATCAAATGGCCTTTTAAAAGAATTCTCTCTTTTAGATGTTCTTTGGTTAAGAGTCAAAGTTTCAAAGCATCCCCTTCTTTTTCTTCTTATTCCTTTCTTTTATCTAAGATACCGCTTGTGTCTTGCTAGTGGGACTCTAATATTATTATAAAAAAATCATAATTCAACATGAATAAGATTAAAGGGAAAAACAAGTGATTGTTTGATTTACTAAACACTATAATATAAATATACACCGTAAAATAAACATAAGATTTTATATTCTTTTCTCTTTGATTTGAAGTGAATTGAAAACAATATAATTCAAAATATATAAAATATGTTTGGCGAGTGACAAACGACATTCAACTTCTTCAACTTACAATTAACATCAATGATTGTATATGTTAGCTACAAGTAGTTGGCAGGCGACAGGAGATAATGGCCAGCGAGTGTCGGCTGACCGATGACATTTCACATTAATGAACCGTGTTAATCTCAAATTCGACCAGATATGTTGAATTCTACAACCTGCTAAAATGAATTAACATGTAAACATCAATTTCATTCATACTTTATATTGTATTTATAACTCTTAATACCAAACATTTAATATTTTTAAAACCCCTGCAAAAATAAATTACAATACACTAAATTCTCCCAAACCAAACAACTCTTAAATGATGACCATCATAATAACAAGGATTGAATACAATACTTTTCATGATCACAATGCAAAATAGAAAAGCAAAAGACCCTTCAGAAGTTTGAGGCTGTTACTTAGGTTCCAGCAAAATTGACTAAGTACATTATCAAATAAAATTGAAAATATATCTTACTAATGAAAATGTCTAGTATCTCATATAAGAGGTAATTACACTTACCTCCCTTTTAAATAATCAATATTACACATATCTCCTTCTTCTTCTTTTCTGAAATTACACAATCTTCTATGTCAAAAGCTCTAGGTTAATGCAGGCAGGTTAATATATAATGAAATGTAATATCAACAACAAAAGAAGAAAGCGCAAATTCAACAACAACAAAATGCAGTCAGAATGTAATGTGAAATGCAACAACAAGAAGTCAAGTGCAGATCTATAATATTGGCTATTTATAGGGGAGATAAGTGCAAATAACCCAAAAGATATTGGCCTATCCTCAGCAAAAAGCTGAAAAATTTGCTGGAGTTCAGAGGCCTATACCTTCAAATCCCCTCTACTGCTACACAAAAAAATGAATAGATGATAATAATCAATCACAAAGAAAAGATGACATTGCAAATATATGATGTAAACATTGATTTTAAAGAAATTATGAATTAGTTGCAGTAATCACCATTGAAACTATGTGTCATTCACATCATCAACTTCATCTTCAATCTCAGTTACATTAGAAGAGAGATCTGCTGCCTCCTTTCCATCTCCAGACCGATTCCAATGGCTCTTCTCTGTTGTATTAACCATAGTCTGCTGCTTCTCCAACATACCTGACAGTGCCAGCTTGGGAGACCATTCAAGCATCTCGTCGATAATGTTCGAAACTTTTGTATGATACCTGAAGCATTAAAAAGCCTCCTGGTTTATATGTATAAGCCTAACAAAGTATAATTTTCTTCTATATTTGAGTTATTGAATTATCATTTTTTTTTTTTGAAGATTTACATACATATCACTTCAATTTTTATATATATGACACCTTACTGATGCACCAAAAGATGTATTTCATTTTTAGAAGTTAAAAATAGTGGAGTTTTTGATGTGATGTGAAAGATTTGTGCATTGTAAATGTAAAAAATTTAGATGTTTAATGTGTAAATACATAGGAATTGGGTGGTATGAATGTAAATAGCCCCTTTTTTTATATGGAAGAAAACATAGGTAGAAATGGAATGGTTTGATCATGATAGAAGCCTTAGAAAATAGGAAGATTTACATACGTACCACTCAATTCCTATGTATTTACATATATAACAGCTAAACTTCAATTTTTACAATATATGCCAATCTTACCTTGCATGAAAATTTGTACTTCATTTTTTAAAAGTCAAAATAACCGTACTTTCTATGCAATATAAAAGATTTGGGAGGGATAAATATCAAAAGTTTAGATATTAAATCTGTAAATACATAGGAATTGGGTGGTATGTATTTAAATGTTTACTGACCTTGCTCTGGCAGCTTCATCAGGAGCATGGTGCCGGAGCAGCAAAATGACCAGCACAGACACAACTGCGTAGAAGAGCCTTGAAGTCCACTTGGGGGGCTCGCCTTCTTCCTTCTTAGGGCAGAACCGGACCAGCTCTCCGAAAGTTGTTTCCTCCGCATTGATGTTGGGAAAGAACCATATCCGTTTTCCAAGAACGACGTAAAGAACACCAAATATTAAAGCTCTAACTGCATGATTAAGACTTTGTCATAACATGTGAGCAATGACTTTTTGCAATGAGGACAAGAAATTATTCAAGGAAATTTACATACAAAACACACAATTCTTGTGTATTTATATAGCTAACAACCAAATAATTTGGTTGACTGTTTGATTTGTGCGGTTAGAAAACAGCTGATTTGCAGTTATTTTTGGATAAATGAATATTCTGCCCTTGCGTAGTAGTGTTGTTTGCAACATAACTATCATAGCTATATATTTGATACTTAAAAAGAAAAACATACTTCATAACAGTACAAAAAAGAATATACACCCACTTAAATGTGAGCATCAAGATTGTTAAAAAAAAGATAAAACCTATTAAAACTAAAATCAAAAGTATAATAATATTAATTTTAAAATGCAATTAAAAACCTATCAAGATTGTCTTACGTGAAATTCAAATGCTTCCGGCGGGATTGCATGTGATTATAGAATTCTGTATTTAGATTGTCAATACCAAAATTATTTATTTATATTTTAATACTTTCGTATCATAAAATTAAATTTATATACGAAAAGTTATATTTTACTTTTAAATGTAATTAATAATAAAAATATTTATGGTGATATTAGAAATTTCAACGTCATGCAAGTAAATATAAAATTTTAGGAATACGCAAAAATTAAGTGATATGTATGTTTCTAAATTATATGAAATCCTGCCATCCAATTCGTCCAATACTGCTCGAAACCCTCCTTGCATCCACTTCGTGAACTCCTTCATGGCCAAAACCCTCGCAAGGTTCCCCTTCCTCCTGCCCTTCCCCTTCACCTTCACCTTCCCCGTCTCCTACCCCAAGCCGTCGCGCACCCTCCCCCTTCTGCATGGAAACTTTGCGATCGAGAGAGACGTATGAGAGAGAGTCGGGGGAGCGGTCGAAGCCACAGGACGAGGGCAGGGGAGAGGATCAAAGAAGCCCCTAGGGCGAATTCACGGGATGAGGGCAATCGCAAAAGGGGCAGCGGAGTAAAGTTTTTTCTAAGAACGGGGGCCACGAGTCAAACCCACGACCGGTGTTTAATAGAAAATAATTCAGCTTATTGCGAAACGCAACCCATATGCAAAAAACAATGAAAATGCCCCGCAGCAAATAAGCTGCGCCAAACGGATCCATAATCATTCCTTAATTTATTCTTCCTATCTATGCCATGTATTCATCGTATTGTAAAAAATATTATTTTAGAAAAATACTCTAAATATAGTTAGTGGAGAATATTTAATTCATTGTCTTGGCTAGTTGTATTGGTTTATTTGACATTATGATTAAATCTCAAAATAGTCCCCCCCACTAAACGTTTGTAGCTTATTTAGTTCCAAAACTTCACATTTATTTAATTTAATCACTTAATTATAAAAAATTGATCTAAAATAGTCCCCGGAAAATAAATTGGTATCAATATTATATTGTCAATTAACTAAATTTGGATCAAAATTGTATCAAAATCTCTCCATTGAGGGCTATGTTGGATCATTTTTGTACAACAGAGACCAAAATTCAAGAAGTGCAATACTCTAGGACTAAGTTGGCCACAAATAAATAGTCAGAGGATAAATTTGAGATTTATCTATTTATTATATATTTAAACATCAAATATTTTTGTTCTAATAACATAAACAACATATGGTTAGTCCTAACATTAGCCAACAACTTCCCTCTCTCTTCTTGCTCCTTCCCATCCATGATGTCCCAACCAAACCCCCACCCTCCAACACAAGTAACCTCAACCAACCCACCCTCCATGTTCCTGCTCTAGCGTTTCATGCTAGTTTCAAGAAAACAAATGAATTCGCTTTCCTAAGCTTACTCTCTCGACCTGACCCATGACCTCAACCACATTTTAGTATCTACAACTCGCCTTTCAAAGCCCATTTTGATGTGCTTCTGCAAACCGCACTTTATCACTCGATCATTAACACTTTAATTGTCCATGATGCACCCCTCAATCTCATACCCCATCCAATCTCAATGATCCAAGTCAAGACTTCAATTCATCTGCTCTCTCTATCATCAAGACGCCCCATCTTCTTTTGTGATTCAAAACCAATCTTCACAAAAGTCTTGTTGATTTTCATTCAACAAAAAAAAAATCAAAATTTTGACATGTTCCTTTTGGCTTGCAACACAACCATGTGCTCAAACTAGGTGGGACTTGACTATGTCGTCCTCACCTATTTAATAATGCTTCCAATAGATGACGGTGAAGATATTTTGATGTAGAAAGAGTAACATGGGTGGAGCATGATGGTGACATGAAAACATTACATAATTATACTCTTGATTGATAAGAGGGAAATAAATTTGCTATCTAAGAAAATGAGCACCTAAATGAATAAAAATTCTAAATATTATAACACCGTAAATTGATTCCAACAAGCCTTTTTTTCATTTTTTCTTGAATAATTCTAGTGAAAATTGGAAGAGCTGACGATATATTTTTATTTTTTGAAATAGTGGTAAAATTTAATGAAGACATACTACAATGAATTCTACCATGTTATAATTATAGTAAAGAGAAAATATTAATGTAAAAGCTTTTTCTGCAAATTAAAGTATTTCAACAAATTAATAAAGAAACCTTTAGAGGGCAAGCATACGAAACTAAGTTAAAAAAAAGGGATATTAAATTCTCCAAAAATCCTTCCCATGGGATCAATTATTAGCAATTGTGGATATACTAATGGAAAGTATGCGCACAGAATTTTTGACATTAAAAAATGGGTCAAGATATTCTAATCAAAATTTTGGCCAAGCTGAATGTCGAAGCCCTTAATATTTTTTTGACATCAGTTCAATACAATGCAAATCTAAAAGTTGGAGGGCCATCCCAATCATTCTCTTAGGATATCCTAATACAAAAATTTTCTAGCTCCATATTAGAATTTTTCCTAAAATTATCTTAATTCCCAGATTAAAGAGAAATCGAAGAGTCTAAGAAACCGAAGAAGAAGAAACAAGGAATTGGGGACAGTCAAAAGGTAGGAGAGGAAACGAGGGAATCGAAAGCCAATGAAATGAGTTCGCCTATATAATGATGTAGTAAACGTGAGTTTTACTAGAGGAGGCTTTTGTCCAGCAAAAGCGTGACGCTAGAGTTTCACCGAGCCGACAATGGCGACTAATAACATAGTTGTGAGCAGAGGAGACGAGATAAAGGCGATAAAGAGCGGCTTCTGCGGAGTCCGAGCGAGGCAATGTGAGCAAGGGGATGTGTGTGGTAGAGCCGAAGTAGATCGCGCGTCTGCAGGTTAGGGCCAATTGAATTCATAAAAAAGGTAAAATCTAATGTTATATATATATATATATATATATATATTGTAATATTATTAACAAATTTTAGTATTTAACAATTGAAGGGGAATAGGTGGCGAAATGTGCGAGCTAGAGGAAAAAGATTGACCCAAGCAAACTTCGATAATTGACAACGAGGTGAATACTTGTACTTTTAATCTATAGTAATAATTTATTTCTTCTCAACTACTTTGTAGTTAACAACACTTGCACATATTTTATCTTAATTGAGATATTTTTTTATCAATCATATTGGTATGAATGTTGTAGCTACTTACTTTTATGCATTTAGTGTATGTTTTATATAGTATATTGAACCAAATGCAATGAATACATGAATGATATATTTATATTGACTTCTTGTATATGTATAACTGACTATGATGGAGTCAACCCTTGATGATATTTGTGGGGAAACACTAAATTACCCATGTGCGTATATGAAAAAAAAACATTAATATTGAAATATCTTAAGTGATACAATTTTTAGACGGTGCTCCTATAATGATTGTACAAAAATAGGATGATATCGGTATGATATTATTATAATAATGCATTGAATAACATGTTAAAGGTTTATATTAATTTATTAAAAGTTTAAATGACATGTTTTTTTTTATTGCATTACTGTAGTTCAAGAGTACGAGTATTCACTGGCTTGTTTAGCTCACTGTTATTTTCAAACTAAGTTTTCAGATTAATTTAATTGATTAAAAGATGAATCATTTATAGAAGATGCAGACAACTAGTGACGAGATAAATGTAATTTTACTGTTTTGATTTAATTTAATTAGTGACACTTTTATCTGTTAAATTATAATGTTAAATTATAAATCAATATGAAAAATTTAGATCTCATTATCCGACCGTTTGTTCTCATCTTGGTTAATTTCAAGCCCCAAACTGGGTCTTAACAAAATGGTGTCAAAGACAGATTTAGATTTTAATTAATAAAATCTTGATGAAAGAGCCTGACGGCATCGTCATAAGTAGAGGAGGCGAGATGAAGGCGACGAAGAGCAGCTGGTGCGGAGGCTGAGCGAGGCGATCTGAAGAAGGGGACGCGTGCAGAAAAGACAAAGCAGGTCGCGCGTTTGCTGGTTTGGGTTGACTGAATTCATAAGAAGGTTAAATATAATGCTTTTATTTAATTGATTAATATATATATATATATATATATATATATATATATATATAGAAAACACGACTTCTTTGTTTATGGCTTCACACTCTCTCGCTCGTGTGTTTCTTCGCGGTGTCTTCGCGCTCAATTCTGTTCGTCTCCCCCGTTTCTTCTCCGGCTCTGAGATGAGGCTCGTCTCCCGCTCGCGTGTTTCTGCGCTCGATCCTCTTCGGCCCATCTCTCCGCTCGCGTGTTCTGTGGCTCAACCTTGCGGGAACTGCTCGCGATCGCGATTTCTGCGTTCTCTGCGCTCGTCCCGTCTCACTGTGTCGTCCCCTTCGACTATTTTGACGTGATTTTTTCGCTCGTCTGCTTTTTTCTCTAAATGTCACACCTATCTTTGAGAATGGCTTCAGACAAATCATATGTAGTTGCCCTTGCCGGAGTCTACGCCTCAGGCACACCAAAATCATCATATTTTCCTCCTTCATTTCAGTGGACGGAGGACATCAAGAAACCTAATATGAAGAATTGGAAGTCTGCCATCTTTTTT